ATTACTAATTGTCCGGTACTTAAAGGTCACATCCACTCCAAACTAATACTGCATTTTTGTGCAGACAAGCAGATACTCAGCTTCTAATATCTCTCAGGAGCACTAAAGAGAGATGTCTCTGTCATAATTCCACTCCCTTGCAGAAGCCATTGTGAAAGCATCACAATCTGGTCGATGGATTTACCATTTAATTATTTGTTTTACCTGCTTGGCTTAATATTAACTGCAAAGGGTGTTTGGGGTTGTGAAATTTGGCAGAGAGATCCAATTACAGCAGTCCACAAGAAATAAAAGGAAAAAGTAGACAAATTAACCCACCAGCATCTAGTCACAGCTGAAATCATTTCTTATGGATGGACAAAGTTTTAGCTTTATGTGGTTGTCAAGGGTACATTTTAAAATATGATGGAGGAAAGTTTAAAAATAAATTTAGGATGTAAAATGGATATGAGTACAGCATGTGCAGGGAGAGTTCAGAGCTTGGAGAAACTGAAACAAACAAAGCAAGCAAAATGTCATTTTGTCATCAATTTACACAGTAAAACATGTTTCCTTTCTTTGTACCATTATTAAAAATGTACTTCTGAGGGATCTCACCTGCCACTGCACCAGACGACAGGGTGGCAATTACAGGGGTCTTCGTCCTGGGACTGATCTGAGCTAGGGATTTGAAAAGCAAGCCATCCTCCGCCATAGCATAGATTACACGGGGCATTGGAAAAATGGATCCGAGCAGACTGAATAAAGATCAAACACATGCAACAAGGCAAACACTGGTCATGCAAGACTGTGAGACAGGAATTAATTGATAATTACAGTTAACTGGCCACCACCACAGTAAACAAAGCCTTGTGATTATAGAGAATTAAAGGAGCTAGTAGCCTAGAACATCAGAAGAAGTAAGCCTTCAACTTTCACCCATCCTAATCCAAGCAGGTGTCACTGTACATACAGAGCATTCCTGATGCCTTCTTTACCAAGTTTTGGGAGATTTTAACCCTTAAAGTATCAGTCTATCCAAAACTAATATTTCATTTTTTTATCTTTAGAGGACTCCAACTAGGTTTCTTTCAACTTCTCAGGGTCCTTCTACTTTGGGTGCCTCATGTTTACTGTTAAAGAGACTTTGCTGTTAAACATTTAAAGTGGTTGTAAACCCCAGACATGCAATATGAACAAAGCATATTCCTCTGTAGTGTGTACTTGTCTCAATTAAGAGCACTAAGTGTCATTTCTGTCTGTTGCTTCCTTTCTCATGCTATCAGCATGAATCACTTCTGAAAAGTTTTCCTGACACCAAGATAAAAATGATGACGGTGAGTGACCTCCGGCAGTCTGACAGCCTCAGCTCTGTTCCTGTGAGCTGTGTAGAGAGGAGTGTGTCTTTTCCTCCAATCAGCTCTCAGAGCTCTCCTCACTAAGCTGTGCAGAGTTTAACTTCGGCTTTCCATCCCCTTTTTTCTGAACTCTGACAAGCTTTTTAAACTCTGGACTTTGAACGGAGAAGAGAAGACTGCAGATAGACAGGTACAACCTATGTAGGATGATTTGTTTCATTTCTGTGTATTATACAGGCCAGTATATGTAGGATGTACAACCACTTTAAATAAAGGGCTCATGACAAAGAAGAACCTTCTAATCTCTCCTGCTGCCTGGACATTGTAAGGAAAAACATCCTTGATGAAGACATTTCTGGGATTGTCAATTTCCTGGTTTCTTGCAGCATGCTGTGGCTTCCCTTAATAACTCCCATCTCACTACAAGACAAAGTAGTGATGTAGGGGGATGGGATCCAACCACTGAGTGCAGTGGGGAACCATGAATCTGCTACTCCCCAAGTTTCACTTTTTCCTTATTACTGCATGGGCAGCAGGAGGGGTGAGAATTTAAAATCTTCTTTCCAGGGAATCCTTTATTTTAGGTTTTAATTTTAGAATTTTAATTTATATCATGGAGAATTTAGCAAGAGAAGTGGGACTCCGTCATTCAATAGGCAGCACTGAGTCCCTAAGTGTCAAAAGGTGCTTCAATTCAACAGTATCTACTAAAATTCGAATTTGGTTGGACTGCCCCTACTATTGAAATGTAACGTACAGTATATTGTTCTCAACAAACATTATATTACCTACTAGATAGCCATTTAATCAGTTTGAGGTAAGCAAAATTGTCAGCTGACTTCCTAGGAAATATCCTTGGTAAGAAAAAGGAACCAGTAATGCTCAGTCTTAAGCTGTGCTCCATTTCCTGCTAACAGTCACAAGGTGAGGATCTGAGATTTTTAGCGAGTTTATTAACTTTTCCATATTTACAAGGAAAGCATAACCACCACTGTGATGATCTAGACAAGGGTATCTAAATTCTACTTTCAAGTACCCCCTTAATTATATTTGTAGGTGTCCTAAATGAAATAAGTGAGATTACTCAAGTCAGATAGTTGAGAAAGACCTCCACATTTTTGTTTCTAATTACAATACATTCTAAAGATGAGGACAGGACAGGCAAATAGTCCACTAAAATCATACTTAAAAAATGAGAATCTATAGACTGAGGCACCAGGATGGAGATCAGAGCAAGGGTGCTATAAACTGTCCCCACTGTGGGGCATGCACTTAAGCTTTATTATTTTACAATTGTAGTCATTCATTTATGGATGCTCTGTACACAGTTTTTAACAAATCCTATAGATATGAGTTGTAAGGGGTAGTTGAAACTAGAAGATAAGAATTCCATAGTCTAGAGAAAGAAAAGTAAAGTATAGAGTACCATAGCAGAAACTCAATTGCTGAAAACCATCGTTTAGATCACTTCAATGAATGTAGAAGGCTGACTCTTTATAAGTGCATATTATAATGAAAGCATAATCTTGTAGTGCATTGGCTTATGACAGATGCACGTTTATCCACCACGCCATTAAGCCTCAGCAGGTCCAGGAAGCTAAGCCAGGTCAGGCAAGGAGGTCCACAATTGAAAAGTGGGTCTGGATTTGAAGGGCTCAATTTAGTGGTTATAATAGTGGCTGAAAAGTGTACTATGGCAACCTGAACAACTAAATGGTGGGATAGTAACAAATGCATGGCTGAAGTTTGGCAGACAGATAACTACACAGGTAAAATACAATCAAGTTCTGAAATTTACACAGCCCTGCCAGAATGTACATCCAGGTTGCTGAGCCCAACTTTTGTAATGCAAATAGGCAACACAGCCTGGTCACTTTCCTGGACCCATCTTTTGATTGGACAATAAAGGAGCAGCAGAATACCAATGAGTCATCTCTCTGCTCTCCTCCTATTAGCTTGTTACTTGTCAGAACATATGCATGCAGCACACTTGATTGGCTTCTGCAATGCTTCACCCTATCCTAGACTGAGTACTCTTTATCTGGGGATGACTAGCAGCATGAATTTGACTTGTTAATCAACAGTATCCACAGTTCAACAACATCCACATGGTGATGTTTTAATGAATACATAATTGCATTAATTGGCGCATTTTATATCTGCGTGAAGCTCAGCTTTTACAGATTTATGCCGGCCATAGACGGTTCAAAAATCGGCCGATATTTCGTACGAAAGATTAAGCGGCCGATTTTCGCACTGTTAGTAGGTTAATTGGTCGGTCGGTTTTCGGGTTTTTTGCACTTTTGGATAATCAGTCATGTTGGAAAATTTGTGGAAAACTACCAATTTTCGCAGCAATGATGGCCAAATTGTACGATCTTTTTAACGAAAAAAAAATATGCGCATGAGCCGTGACCTGGAAGGAACAGAAGTTTTGGCTGTTATATGGGGTGAACTTTATGACTTGCTGATTTTTGTAATCGTTGATGGTAACGTCGGTTTAACGAACGACCGATTTTTCGTTTATCGATTGAAAAAATGCGCAGTTTTCAAACCGTCTATGGCCTGTTTAAGCTATGTATGAAGGGCAGAAAACAAAAGTCTCAACATGACATTATTGGGCAGATAATTATGGCATATATGGGTGAACTTTCCAATTTTTGTACATATTGTAATTACATAAGTGTTCATGGGCACCGTAGTTGGTTCAGTTAGTGGTGATATCTAATTGATTTCTATGGGTTACTGCATATTATCCTTGCTCATGGCACTCCTTTAGTCCCTAACCCCATGCATTTTTAGGAACTTAAATGTATATAAAAAATACCATGCCGAATGCATGACTAGATCTGTGCCCCTATAGTCAATGTAATTGGAACTGTATGGAAAAATGCAGACATGTAAAACAAGCAATTGACTATAATGACATAGATTTCATCATGCACTTTGTGTGCAGGTTGAAACACATGCCGCTGGTGGTCAGAGGTGTTCAATATTGTGCAGAGACTGTTCCCACTAGTTGGGGGCCTACTAAAAGGATTACATAAGTACTGATATAACTGGAAGATGAATAGTGAAAAAAGGGTCTTGACTCTCAGACCACTTATTTCAGGATGGCAGGATATCTCCCTTTCTGTTGTTCTTGAGGACATATCTGGGTTCTGCCTTGGCTTCAATTTGTTAGTGTATTTAAATCTGCTTACAGGAGGTGTTACTGTCCAGATCACCAGGTGAAAACAGAGGAAAGAGGGCCTAAGAAAAGAAAACTAATGCAGCCACCACATCTAATGACTGGTAAGTTGCAATATAATAATTTGTTTTTGCGTTTTGGGTTTATTAGCGCTTTAACAAGAATCCAGCTATAGCATAATCTAGAGAAAACCATTCTATATACTATGTGACTTATTCAGCGCAATACACTATTTTGAACACAATGAATTTTGCCACAGTTTTGTCCACTTTTTAGACAATATAGTTAGGTATTTACCTGGTTGAAAGAGCACAAAGAGAACCAACAGCCACAACATATTTAGCAGGACCCCAGCCAACATACTCAAATGCAACAGGCAGTGGGCTCTTCTCATCTAACAAGTAATATGGCATCATTAGGGTCAGAGCAGCTGATACTCCAAAATACGCCATGAAGCACACCAGCAGGGAGGTCACAATTCCAATGGGTATTGCTCTCTGTGGATTCCGTACTTCCTCCCCTGCAAGTAAACAGGTCAAAGCACAGGTTGAGAAAGATTCACTGATCAACGTTCCAACTTGCAGGTTGAAAAGTAAATTAGAACCACAGTCAATGTATTTTTTACCAGCTTTATCACTTTCAAAAACGTTCAGAAATGTATTTTACTGAGCAATCATATTATACTCACCTCATACACTCCTTCCCACTAATAATTACTCTTTAAGCATATCTAAACTCAAGAACAAAAATGGAATCTACTGCTGCTTACCAGACCATAGTAGCACACCTCTGCTAGGGTGACATTGCACACACTCCGTACTGTATCTAAGGAGGAGCAGTGTTGTCACAGCGTAGGACAGGACTACAGAATACCTCCCCCCCCTCTCCTTGTTTCCATCACAGATAGTGCTCTATCTGGTGGCAGATGGACTTGTAGTTCTCAATAGAATGCAAATGCAGTGATTACCACATGCTTAGTCCATTGACTATTCCTTCAGATCTCTCATGAAAGTATGTCCCCTGGTATGGACATAAGGCTGGAGGAAGAGTCTGCAGGAGTCCACATTTTTTCCTGAAAATACTATATACTGTATGTGCATTAATTTATTTAATTTAAAGTGGCCTTAGCTGTTATGAATTCCAGTAGAGGAGAGGTAAGTTGTAGGGTGTGCAATAATGTGTAGGATATAACTAAGGACAATCAAGGAACACTGTTATATTTATTTGCTTTTAGTGAGTGCTAAAAACTGCTGTGCCAGAAAAGTAACACACTAGCCACAGCCCTAACCTAAATATTCTACTTAAAGTGATAACAAAAGATATTTTTTTAATAACAAACATGTCCTACTTTTTTCTACTTTTGTCCTGGCCTAAATGAGACATTGAGCTTTAACCCATTTCTTTAATTTTCCCCTAAGCAGGTCCCCTACTCACCTTTATAATTATATAGAGATTTGGTTACCATCAACAGGGTAGAGGACCTCTTTGTTTGTGACTGTTGGGCTACCCCAGGGGTGGGCAACTGTGGCCCTCCAGCTGTTGGCGAACTACAAGTCCCATCATGCCTTTGGGAGTCATGCTTGTAACTGTCAGTTTTGCAATGCCTCATGCGACTTGTAGTTCTACAACAGCTGGAGGGCCACAGTTGCCCACCCCTGGTCTATCCTATGCACTATAATATGTGGATCTGGGTCAGTTCCATCTAAGAGAGATGTGTTTAGTCTCATTCCCTGTAAGTTGTATACAGCAATTCTTCATGAAGTTAAATAATGAAAGAGCCTCTGGGCATGTGGTGCATATTTTTTTTGAGTATTACACAGGGAATATAGAGATTTTTTAGGTAAAATGCTACCCTCCTTATTCACTTATTTACTTTTACTCTATTTTGGGCTTTGGAGTCTCTATGCTATAGGGCCCTTTAACACATTTACCTTGTTGGTGGTTTTGGACAAATGCAATACCTACTGATTTTGGACTAATTTACAGCTATATCCTAGAAATATACACCATCAAGTGAATATTCATTTCACTTGTCTCTATGGATTGAGGGCTTTTTTTGACACTTATATATCTGCCTTATTGCCTTACTGTAATAAAAAAAAAGTAAGTTTTTAATTCTGTCTCGTGATGTGCCAATAAAGTCCAACAACTGTGGTGGGCATGCTCCCACATTCTTTTATGTCATACCTACCTGCTCTGTGTAGTGGTTTTGATCCTCCTCTTCTCTGGTCACCCATCGGCAGTCCTGGCCCCTCCCTCTTACCAAGTGCACCCAAAGCAAACAGCTTGGAGGCACCCAAGCAGGCTCGCTCCTGAGCCTGTGCTCCGCATGTCCATTCACACACACAGCCGTGGCTTGGCCCTCCCCCCTCCTCTCTCCTCATTGGCTCACTGGCTGTGATTGGGGCTTGGAGACTGCTGGGGCTCAGGAAAGTATTAGGGGGCTGGGAGGCTGCTGCACACAGAAGTTTTATTTTACCTTCATGCATAAAATGCATGAAGGTAAAAAACCTTGAGACTTTACCACCACTTTAAAGCATAAGTCAATCCAAAAATAAACGTAATACTTCTCTGGAATACATGCACTTTTCCCCATGTTTTACCCTTTTATACACATGCCAAGTACAAAAATTAACTGCTGATTTGCCTGAAATATAGTATGTTCCTACATTCCTTTTGACATGACAACACAGCTCTGAATTCCGTGGTGCCAGCATTGCCTGCTCCATTTCTGATGGAATAAAAAAATCACAGAGCAAATAAAAGAATTTCATTGTTCGGGTATTTTTTCTCGGTGGATAATATAAAAATGACAATATATCCTAAAAACTTACAGCCAATACCCACGACTCAATTACTTTTCATAAAATTATCTTTTGTACTTGTTATAAAAAATAAGGCCAAAATACAAGGATTTATTTTCTAAAAAATCAGGCTTACTAACCATAGATTTTGTATGAATTCACACATTTTCATTAATTTGAATTTCAACCTTTACAGTTAACTTTAAGGCTCCATGCACACTGGGCGTTTTAATAACACTGGTAACGTTAGCAGTGTAATGTCACGTTAAAAACATGAGTTTTTGCATTAGCGTTTAGCGGAGTTTTTCCACATTTGCATTTTTTAGCGTTTTCTTTTTACCTAAAAAAAAAGTCCAAAAAAGCTGGTTTACCACGATTTACGTTTTACCAGGTTTTGTCACGTTTTGCAGCATTAGAGCATTTTTACAGTTAAAAATGTCCTCTTGAAACCCACTAGTTCTGGGGTTTTTTTCCAGCCAAAAAACGCCCCTGCCGAAAAATGTTGATTACAGTCTATGTGTGCATGGACACATAGGATAACATACCGGGAGGTTTACTGGCTGTAGGAAAAAACGTCAAAAGCCAAAAAACAGCAGCTATAAAAATGTCCAGTGTGCATGAGAACTAATACCATCTTTCTAGTCTGTGCTGACATTCTAGCCAGCTTTGCTCAACATGCCTATCAAGGCCTCAGGTTCTATTTAAAGTGTGCCCGCTAGTTCTCACCGGTTGTTGCAATGCAGTCAAATCCAACGAAGGCGTAGAAGCAAGTAGCAGCTCCAGCCAGCATCCCAGTCATTCCATATGGCATGAAACCTCCAACACCGTGTTTACTTGTCACATTTTCATAGTACACAAAATTTCTGATTGAAAAAAGATACAAATAATTAAAACAGCTTTTATATTTCAAGGGTTTTTTTAAATCACAGAAAATGCTCACGTTAAAATCAGTATACATTTTATGTCATAATCATGCATACATGAACAAACAAGTATGCATCTTTATTTAACTTTGATCAACATCTTAAACTCAAAGGAAAATGTGCAATGAGCAATATTTAACTGCATCCAATCCAAAGTCATCTGTTTACCATCATTCTGCCTATATTAAGCTGTTACAATGTGATTAAAATCTTAGTGGTGTATATTATTCTATGTCAGGGGTCATTAAGCTGTTGATCATGATCGAACAGTTGACCACGGGCAGCCAACAGGTGGATCATGACCACAGCTCTGCCTCCCCCCAGCCTCCACCACTATTATGTTCTCTGCAGAGTGGAGTGCAGGAGGAATCATAGTGCTGGATGGAGGGCGGGGATAGGAGCTGCCTTAGTGATTGTTTGCTAGGCGGTCCTAGCAACCAATCCCCAGCTTGTTTTTATTAATATGTTAACTCCAGCAGCTTCTGCTCCCGCCTTCCATCCAGCACCATGCTGTCTCTTGATCTACGCTCTGCTGTACACATGCTAGCAGGTAGGAAGTGCTACCTACACAGTGCTGTGTGTGTTGGGAAGGGGAGGGGGGTGGTGATGTGAAGGGAACAGGGGAGACAGTGTTGGAGGGGGGCAGAGGAGACACTGTTGAAGCGAGGGCAGAAGAGACAATGTTGGAGAGGGGCAGAGGAAACCCTGTGGAAGCAGGGGCGGGGAGACAATGTTGGAGGGGGGGCAGAGGAGACACTGTTGGAGGGGGGGCAGAGGAAACACTGTTGGCAGGGGGAAAGAGGAGACACTGTTGAAGGGGGGGGGGGCAAAGGAGACACTGTTGAAGAGGGAGCAGAGGACACTACAGTGCTAAAGTGAGGGGCGATGAGAAATGGATAGAGGACACTGCTTTAGGGGATGGGGAGGCAGAGGACACTGCTTTTATTGGGCAGAGGACACGTTGTGAGGGGCAGAAGACACTTCTATGGGGGAGGATACTACAGGGGGTAAATGACACTACTGGGGTGGTGTTTACTTTCACTTACTAAGGACTACATATCCCATGGTGCCTTGCTGCTTGCAGACAGTGATTCCTGTACTGACTCCGCCTCCTGAAACTCCTCCACTCAGTACCACTGTAGTTCAGAAGGCAGGCTCTGTGAAATGTGTGACACAACAGTGGCTCACGCACATGGAATAGTGAATACGTGTCACAGAATTCAAGGAAATAAATGTATGGGTTTCTCCACAAAGTTTACAAACTTCAAGATTGTTTGTATTAATAGGAGTAAGCTAGAAATAACTTAAATGCAATGTAGAAATTATTATATTATTTTACATTTTCACCATAGATACACTTTAAGGGAAAATTTAGCTGAAAGAAATATGAGGGCTGCAATTGCTGACAATGACAGTACATGAATTCCTAATCAATTATTGGCTACTGACACAGAAAATAATGATTCCTGATCAGCATGACAAGGCACTTAGCATTTTTAGACAGAAAGGCAGCGATCACGTAAATTTTTTTTCAAACAGGTTTCTTTTAAGTAAATGGAATAGCAAATGAGCTGGAGTATCAATGGCCACCATTGGTGTAGTTCATTGTTAAACAGCACAAAGCAAATCTTGAGCTTTGAAATTCATCTGATTGGACAAACCAACTTGTTTCAATATATCTTTTCTGCTGTGGGTGTCAGGGAGCTATAGGTGCAAACAGACACAAAAAGCACAAGGGCCAGATTCTAAAGTACACAGGTGAAACTCGATGCACTGACTCCAAGCCTCAGTCCACTCCTTGTGAAAGTCCCCAACACTTTTGAATGGCCTTTTCCTGACAATCCTCTCCAGGCTGCGGTCATCCCTGCTGCTTGTGCACCTTTTTCTTCCACACTTTTCCCTTCCACATAACTTTCTATTAATGTGCTTTGATACAGCACTTTGGGAACATCCAACTTCTTTTGCAATTACCTTTTGAGGCTTTCCCTCCTTATGGAGGGTGTCAATGATGGTTTTCTGCACAACTGTCAGGTCAGCAGTCTTTCCCATGATTGTGATTCCTACTGAACCAGACTGAGAGACCATTTAAAGGCTCAGGAACCCTTTGCATGTGTTATGGCTTAATTAGCTGATTAGAGTGGGACACTTTGAGCCTAGAATATTGCACCTTTTCACAATATTCTAATTTTCTGAGATTGTGGATTTTGGGGTTTTCATGAGCTGTAAGCCATAATCATCACAATTATGACAAATCACGGCTTGAACTATCTTGCTTTGCATGTAATGAGTCTATCTCATATATTAGTTTCACCTTTTAAGTTGCATTACTGAAATAAATGAACTTTTGCACGATATTCTAATGTTTCGAGTTTCACCTGTACATGGTGACAGCATCCCTCATATCCCAGGTTCTGGTGCAGATATATTAACAACAAATAGCTCCACTTCTGATCTCCTGTACTGGAGTGTCAATTCTGCTGTATTAAAACTGAATACATTAGCAAGTGGATGTCATGGATGATTTTAGATACAGTATACTATAGACAGCTTCTAACACCACCAGCAAAGTAAGAGTAAAACATCAGGCATGACAACTTCTACCCAAGGTGAAAAATGTACATTTATATCATTAGGCATTATATAAGCTATATAGTGTTCATAGTTACAGTTACACCGTAAAACAAGGCATTTGAAGAAAGTGTGCCATACCCTGGTGGAGCAGAGATATTCTGGAGAAACGACTCTGTTATCTTCCAGTTATGGAGATCTCCTTTCACAAACCCAGCAATCATTACAAACAAGAGGACAAGCACATTGATAGCTGTGAACACCTTGTTCACCCAGGCAGATTCTTTGACTCCAAAAGACAACAATCCTAAATAATAGAAAAAGATATATACAAGGTATAAAAGCAAATCTTTAGGGCCCAACCACAGTGATGCATTGCAAAAATGTGTGTTTTAAAGCACATACCACAATACATGTTAAAACATGAGCACTAGTGTGGTGCCTTTTATTTCAAAAGGAACCCAAATGCACATGCGTCTCTAAAAACTATCTGTGTGTTGCATGGTGATTTAGAAAATAGGGTCAGGTGTGCTTTCATATGTCCTTCAATCACTTCTGAAAACGAAATCTGAAAGTGTAATGGAAAGATAATTAAATTACCTTATTAGAGGATCCTATTTACAGAATAGCATAAAACCGCCTGTTTAATTACACTATGGGCCTGTGTTGATGGGCTTTGGGCTTGTGTTGATGCCATCAGTTTGACATGCTTCTGGGATCATTCACAATTCACTGACAGATGCATATGACATGCAATGCCAAGCTGCGGTTTCCAAAGCGAGGAAAATCCTTTCTTGTATTAAGAGAAGTATAGACTCCAGAGAGAGAGATATCAGATTACCCCTGTACTAATCATTAGTAAAACCTCATCTGGAATATGGAGTTCCGTTTTGGGCACTAATTCACAAAAAGAACATTGGGGAACTAGAGAAAGTAAAGGGAAGGGCATCCAAACTGATAAGAGGCATGGAGGAGCTCAGTTATGAGGAAAGATTAGAGGAACTGAATGTATTCTCTCTTGAGAAGAGGAGATTAAGGGGGGATATGATCAACATGTATAAATACAGAGGTGGTCGACATAGTGAACTTAGTGTACAGTTATTCACTTTAAGGTCATCACAGAGGACAAGAGGGCACTCTTCACATCTGGAAGAAAAGAGATTTAATCTACAAATACAGAAAGGCTTCATCACAGTAAGAGCATTGAAAATGTGAAATAGACTCCCTCAAGAGCTGGCTATGGCCATAGATTGTTTTAACAAAGGCCTGGATTTTTTTCCTAAATGTATAGAATAAAACTGGATACTAATATTTATAGGTAAAGTTTATCCAGGGAACATCCAATTGCCTCTCGGGGGGATCAGGAAGGAATTTTTTCTCTTGCTGGAGCAAATTGGATCATGCTTTATTGAGGTTTTTTGCCTTCATCTGGATCAACTGTGGGTATAGGATTGTGTATATAGGACTGTATCATTTTTTTTTAATGGTTGGAATAGATGGACATGTCTTTTTTTTTCAACCACATTAAATATGTAACTGTGTAACTATGCATCAGACCTCTTTCTGACCTGCCTCAAGCAGGTTTTGCATTCCATGAACTGCATAGGAATACAAAACCCATCTGATATAAACAAAAGCCTATCGACAGAGGCCCTGAGTCTGTTTTGTGATCTTTTAAAGCACAGGAGTTACTTACTTGGAAATGTGTTTCATATAGATCCATAGCTTAAAGCAATATTAAGCCTAAAAACAGAATGTAATATATTGCAGAATACCAAGTCATAAGTACTATATGGTGGTTGCATTCTATTTTTTTTATTTAATTTTCACTTGGTAATCCAGCCAGTAACATATTTCATGTCTTAGGGTGTCCCCACTCTGGATGGGGGTGCAATGGAAACACCTTTGGTTGGCAGCATTGTCAGTCTGGGAAGAGGGTAGTGTTAGGTTTACTAGCAGATTTAGATGGACTTGACTATCAAACTAAATTTGAATTAAAGCTAACAGTTTCAAGCAGTTACAACAGAAACAATTGAGTACTGTCCGTGATACTTTTTTTTATTTTCACTAACATACAATTTGAGGACAAGGTTTTGGGGAATGTCCCCTTCCCCGAAAGCTTGTCCTCAAAATTGTATGTTAGTGCAAATACAAAAAGTATCACGGACAGTACTCAATTGTTTCTGTCGCAAATGCACTAATACGGCTACAATCACCTCAAGCAAAGCAGTTACAACAGTTTTTTTTTCTTTTGGGATAAAGGTTTTATAGAAATGAATAAAAGCTGACAATTGTAAGCACCCCTGTCAGTGGTAAGTGGTTTGACTCAATGCACCAAGTGCCAGTTTTGCTGGGCAGCTTGTTCTATTAAAGGATGTTAAAAATATAATCAATTTACTGGCTGCATCACCAGGTGAAATTAAAGTGGAACTTTATTTAAAAAATAATTCCTGATAGATCACTTTAGGCTGGCCCCTTTTGCAGGTATAGCTATGTAAAACATTACAAAGTGCCTATTCTGTTTAAAACCCAGTAATGCCCTGTCTCAAACTGCTTTACGCATGTTCAGTTGCTCTCTATTCTTGGCACTGTGCCTAAAATCACCACTAGAGGCCAATAGTGTCTTATCTGATCTCCCTGATTTTCTTTCCTTTCTGACATGGCAGCCTGTGAACTTTAGCACTGTAAAACTCCTATCAGCCTTCTATTCTAGCTTTGCCAAGATATACAATCAAGGCTGTAACTGTACATATTTTAATTACAGAATTGACATATAGGGGTTTATTAACTAAAGCTGGAGAGTGCAAAATCAGGCTCACTTCTGCATAGCTTCTAACCTAAGCTTGTTCAAGTAAGCTTTGGTAATAAAACCTGGAAGCTGATTGATTTCTATGCAGAAGTGAGCTTGATTTTGCACTCTCCAGCTTTAGTAAATAAGCCCCATAGTGTTTGAGACCAAGGAGAGGGGAAGTATTTCCAATAAGGAAATGACTGATCTGACTTCAACAAAATGGCAGCCCCAGCAAGAGAAAAAAGGAGCAATACTGGAGGCAATTTACAGCACACAATCATTTTGGTATCTTGATTACTAACGTGGAATGTATGGTCTTTTGTTAAAGATTATTCTTTGTTATCAAACTGTTATGGGTACAATTCTGCTTCAAGACAAAAAAAACTAAAAGAGAAAACAAATACAACCACCACATCTAATAAATGGTACGTTGCCATATAATACATTTTTGTTTTCGGGTTTAAAGCAATCCTGTGACCCCTCATGGAGACACCCACCCCACAATGATAATAACAATACATAAGAACCCTTGAAGATAGTATTATGCAACCTGCATTATCTTCTCTGTTTTCTCTACATAGGACTGTAACAGCACCATGGGTGCTGCCATGTTGGTTTTCCCTAACAGAACTGTTTGCTGTATCATGACGATCCTAAAAACGTACAGCCGGAGCTGAACAGCATGCTCCTGTGCCAGCCTCTGTGTACAGTACAATGGCTGTCAGCGAGATCACACAAGATTAAGAGGAGGAGAAAATGAAAAGGCTGCAAGGTCACAAAATAGGAGAAAATGCAAATAAGAGGAAAACAAATTGAATCCAAGTTGCTCTGGTTGTGAAGCTTCAGTGTGAATTGTTGCACAGTGCCTGCAGTGTTTGGAGCCCAAGAGAGATTTTTTTCATGGTATATCAAGCTGGTCATACACTGCTTGAGTTGTGTCCAGTTCCTGCTGGTTTTTCACAGGAGCCTGATGGAAAATTGTTGGCTGAGAAGCACCTGCATCCAATCATGCAGACACTGTTCAGGTATTCTGACAGCTGGTAGTGCCAGCTCACAGAATACATAGTCCGACAAGGAAAATTCATCCAGCCCTGCTGGAGCATGAATAGAGGAATCTTTTAGATTTCTTTCATCCAGCCAGGAGACTGAAGGATTCAGATTTATATGTGTATGACCAGCTTAATTGGTATTATACATTGTAAATCATTGGCTGTCCATAGCTTGATCAATTTTAATTAATTTAATTTTAATGAAAGTACATAATTTAAAACTGAATGCCAGATCTTGTTATTTTACTTTTGCAGACATGTAAACTAAAAAAGATCTTCACCCTCTAAATATGGTTCCTCTGTTTCCACCCCTCTACATGAATAGTGATGTGGGTTTTTTTTTTTTACCTTTTTTTGTGTAAACTGCGTGGCCCCTTACCCCCATGCACTTCATTCGCATAGGCGAATGACATGCACAGTGCTTGATGTTCCACCTGGGATATGTGATAGTCAATCATACAGAAAGGAGGAGGTGGAGGGCCTAGTGGCACGTCATCATAAGGCCCACTGGGCCCTCTTAATGATATCAGGAGCAACATGGTGGTGCAGGTCTAAATGTTGTCTGATGACAAGAGGATCTTAGCGGAACAACGCTGGATCCTCTGGGCGGGTGAGCATCTGAACTGTGCAGAAAACAGCACCCGGTAAGCAGGGGTTAAATGTGATTGGAGAGACTTTAAGAATAAATAGTCCTTTATAATTTTCAAATTAGAAGAAAATGTGTAGCACATGACCTTATAAAGTTAATTCACATGGTCTTAATCTCCTGATAATGAAAAGCATGATTATGTTTGAGACATTAACTTTTAAAGATTATGAGGACTTCTGTCAGGATAGCCTACTTTGCAGCTTAAGTTTATGATTCTTGGATAAGTATACAGAACTAGCATAACTATCAGAACTGATCATGTGCTGTTGGAACAGGATCTGAACAACTATGAAGAGCAACATGGCCTTCAACTGTACTATGAACCACTATTATACTGCATTTTAAAATTCTTCCCTACTCCCCTTGGTCCAGCCACCAAAGTGAGATTTATCTTCAGTTCACTCCTACAACACCAGCATTCTCCTCTTCAAGCCATAGCTTTTTTTTTTTTATCAAAATCCGTACTAATCTAAAGCTGGTAATAAACAATGCACAAATCTGTAGTGAGGGCTATTGTATTCTGACAGCCAGTATCCAATGCTGTCAGAATTCATGAACAATGACTGCAGCTGTTTGGCTGCAGTCACTGTTCCGCCAACAATTTTCTGGTGTTGGCATGGCCACGCAAGGTTAGAATTTTTTGCCATAATTCTAACAGTGTATAGCCATCTTAAGATTGTTTACTCTTTGAGGTAACTAAACATAAAACCACTGACGTATCTAATGATTTTTACTATACTGAAATCATATTATATGTCAGCCCTGCAACCTATCAATCTGAATTTTGGACTGTATGATGTTGATAATTTCCTTGACTGTCATTTTACGTAGTTTTACAAGTCTAATAAAATCTATTACACAAAAAAAAAACAATTGTTCCCTACTGAAAATGGAATTCCACTCATTTTTAACCACATTGTAATGTGCATCGCTAGTGAATTAAGGTTTGGAAACTAACATGTTGCAATTTCTGCACAAAGAACCCTTTTTTAGTTGTCTTCCCAGCAACTTCTGGTCACAGTTGCCTAGGCGATTATGTCACCAGCCCTGGCCTATTGACTCCTGAGATATCAATCCCAGGAATCTTCGGGCATTTAATGTGGGTACCGTTGTGAGATTTTTAGTGGAATTGATGCAATTGGCGCCATTTTAGAAGAATTGATATGGCAACCTGTAATTAATAAACTGTGCAGAGCAGAGTCATTACTGGGTAGATTCCCAGATCAGGAGGCGCTTGCTGGGTAGCCAGCTGAACCTAATCCAATAAATACACATGAGTCAGCTTCAGATGGCCATATCCTCGATGACCCCTGCCTGCTTCTGAGATCCTGTACAGTGGATAAAAAAGTCTACACACCCTGTTATAATTTCAGGTTTCTGTGATGTAAAAAAATGAGACAAAGATAAATCATTTCAGAACTTTTTCCACCTTTAATGTTACCTATAAACTGTACAACTCAGTTGAAAAACAAACTGAAATCTTTTAGGTGGAGGGAAGTAAAAATAAAAAACTAAAATACTATGGTTGCATAAGTGTGTACACCCTTAAACTAATACTTTGTTGAAGCACCTTCTGATTTGATTCCAGCAATCAGTCTTTTTTGGGTATGAGTCTATCACCATGGCACATCTTGATTTGGCAATATTTGCCCACCCTTCCTTGCAAAAACACTCCAAAATCTGTTAGATTGTGAGGGCATCTCCTGTGCACAGCCCTCTTCAGATCACCCCACAGATTTTCAATCGGATTCAGGTCTGGGCTCTGGCTGGGCAATTCCAAAACTTTAATCTTCTTCTGGTGAAGTCATTCCTTTGTTGATTTGGATGTATGCTTTTGGTAGTTGTCATGCTGAAAGATGAAGTTCCTCTTCATGTTCAGCTTTCTAGCAGAAGACTGAAGGTTTTGTGCCAGTATTGACTGGTATTTGGAACTGTTCAAAATTCTCTTGACTAAGGCCCCAGTTCCAGCTGAAGAAAAACAGCCCCAAAGCATGAGGCTGCCACCACCATGCTTCACTGTGGGTATGGTGTTCTTTTGGGGATGTGCAGTGCTGTTTTTTGTGCCAAACATATCTTTTGGAATTATGGCCAAAAAGTTAAATCTTAGTTTCATCAGACCATAACACATTTTCCCACATGCTTTTGGGAGACTTCAGATGTATGTTTGCAAAATTTAGCCGGCTTGGACATTTTTCTTCGTAAGAAATGGCTTCTGTCTTGTCACTATACCCAATAGCCCACACATATGAAGAATACGAGAGATTATAATTACATGTACCACACAGCCAGTTCTTGCCAGATATTCCTGCAGCTCCTTTAATGTTGCTGTAGGCCTCTTGGCAGCCTCCCAGACCAGTTTTCTGCTCGTCTTTTCATCAATTTTGGAGGGACGTCCAGTTCTTGGTAATGTCACTGGCGCCATATTTTCTCCACTTGATGATGACTGTCTTCACTGTGTTCCATGGTATATCTAATGCCTTGGAAATTCTTTTGTACCCTTCTCCTGACTGATACCTTTTAACCCTTTGAGGACCATAAGATTACGGAATGCCAAAAGAATCAATTTTTTGTTTTTTAAAGTTTGTACACTTCAGTTGCTGTAACTAAGCCATTTCATGAAATAATTGGCAAAAAGCTAGATCCATTTGTTGATAAGAACTAATATTTTGACTCAAACCAAAAAAAAAAAAGAATTTTAAGTTCTTAATTAGATGATACAGGCAATTAAAAACATGGGACAAATACGTCCCTTGGTCCTCAAAGGGCTAACAATGAGATCCCTCTGATGCTTTGGAAGCTCTCTGCGGACCATGGCTTTTGCTGTAGGATGCAACTAAGAAAATGTCAGGAAAGGCCTGCTAGAACAGCTAAACTTTATTTGGGGTTAATCAGAGGCACTTTAAAATGATGGCAGATGTGTACTGACTCCTAATTAACATGATTTGGAATGTGATTGCTTAATTCTAAACACAGCTCCAGCTCCAGTTATAACCACATTATTTTAGTGTTTTATGTTTACACCCCCCCCCCCAAAAAAAGGTTTCAGGTTTTTTTTTCAATTGAGTTGTTTAGTTTATCAGTCACATTAAAGGTGGAAAAAGTTCTGAAAATTATTTATCTTTGTCTCATTTATTTACATCACAGAAATCTGACATTTTAACAGGGGTGTGTAGACTTTTTATATCCACTGTAAGTTATTAAAGCATGAAGGGGACAGTAGCCAAATATTAACATACTAACAATCACAGGGGAGCTTTGAAAATATTGATTATGGGGACTTGAGCTCTGCTTTCATGTCTCTGCTGATGCAATAGCAAATATGTTCAAAAAGTATTTACCAACAGTAGAAATGTATGCTTAATTTCCCTTTACAGCTGAACACCATACAGATATAAAACACTGTTTACTACAGTTATATATTTGTTTAAGAAAATTTATTTTTAAATCTACTGTAAGTGCTTTAATCTGCCTTGTTATCAGCCTCATGTGAACCCCTGGATATTTGATTTGAGAGACAGGGTCAGCACAGGGAGCCAATCAGGCACTGCTATATGCACATGTGCTATCAGGTGACTGGAGAAGGATAAGCATAAGCTGCCCTTACTGTTTTCTTAGCATGAACAGTTTTCAAGATACAAATGTGACACTAAGACCAGCATTAATGACTTATCGTTCTGTGCAGGTAACATAATTATAAGGCAGCAAAAGACATACCCAACCAATAACATTGATGCTAAATTATCAGGAGTGACAAGTTACTGCATCATTTGAAGGTTTATGCTTTCATTATGAAGAGGTTCAAGAGGGGATCAGATAACCTTCAAAAGTCTAAAATCGGTTGTGGAAGTGCTAAGAATAGTGCTTCCAACTGTGTCACTATACAGTGATGAAGAGGCAAAGACCTGAATGGTTTTACATCTTACCTGACAAAAGCAAGATAAGGCAAACTGCAAAAAAGTCAGGGTATTCAGCCAGGCCAGGGGAATTCATCCTAAAATAGGTTCTAAAAAATTGGCCAATCTGCTTCCCCAGAAGTTCATCAAATGTACCACTCCATGCTCTGGCTACACTAGACGTGCCTGCAAAAAAAGCAGAGGAGAATGTTCAGAGAGCTTCAACCGTGTACTGGGGGCACAACTTACTTTCTATGTTAGATGGTACACAGATTTCAAAGGATAAAAAAAATGCAATAGAACAACCTCCACACACAAGCACATATGCCTATTCTACAAAGAAAACCCTTAACTTTTTTGTGTATACATACTGTATTATGTGAAGCAATTACTGTTACTCCATGAAGGTGAGTAGATTAATAAATGACAGTTTGAATAGCCGAACCTATTGACTGGATAAGGTTAACATAATGACCAGAGATTTGTGGTTTACTCATGAGTGGCCATGTCTAAACAGCTCTTCATACCTTGTTGGTGACTGGGTTTCTAGTCTTGCATTGGTAAAGATGCATTGGAAAGGTAGCCGCAGGTAGTAGAGGCCATTTATCCCAGCTGTCTATCAGAGAACTTTGCATGAAAAAAAAAAAAAACAGACATGGCTGCCAAAGTCCCTCTGGCTTCTCCTCCTCTCTGCAACTGCATAGGAGCGTATTTTATGCTCACAACATATATCATAAAAGGCAAAAGGAATTGGCTACACTCTGATATAGCCCAACAACAGACAGAATTATTGTTCTGGAGCACAACATGCTCTGTGTGTAGACTCCACCCTCTGTAATGTCTTTTACCATGAACGGGCTAGAATATGGCAGGGTGCATGTTGTGCACATGAACAATAAATCTATCTGTGCTTGGGATATTACAGAGTGTGGCTGGCTCCTTTTGCTTTCTAGGAATCTTTGCATGTCCGTAGATTTTTTCAGATGCCTGATGTCCAACCTTTCTTCAGAAAAAGAATGAATTAGTTAGGATGGAGATCCCTAATCAGTTAGCATGGTTTTCCTCTGGATAGGCTGATATCCAGTTCCCTCCCCCATCCCTATCCATAACACAAATATACAAGTTCATCCAATACGCATGTATGTTTGTATAGGTTATGATCACAATAACCATCATTCAGTGGTTGGATTGCACATGTACAGCTGGTTGCTGTGCATGGCCAATTCCTTTTGCCACTTAGGGAATTTTGTCTGTAGACCTTCCTTGATGCCTGTTGGCCAAGCCTGCTTCAGGTAAAGATCAATCAGTTAGGATGGAGATCCCTCACCAATAGGTATTGTTTTCCCCAGTACAGATATCTGTAGTGCACTCCTTCCCCTCTCCTAAGCACAAACATGCAAGTTCACCCAATGCAAATGTACATGTTTGTATAAGAGTTGTTTGTAATTATTCACTGGCTGGATTTCGAATGTACCACTGGCTGCTATTTAGTGTCTGCAGGCAAAATAAAACCCAGAAAAGAAATGGTAGACTGTCAAAGACATGACAGTTTAGGGAAAGAAGACAGAAGACCATGGGTTCTAGAAGCAGTTCTAGAATCAAATTATAGGCAACCTAGCCATTTCATGTACACAGCAGAACACATCTTTACTTTATTTAAAAAAAACAATTAGACATAATTTCATGATTCAACCAAGATTTCTACAAATCATTTTTTACGCATATAATTATAATGACACTTACAAAGTGAAAGCAAACAACATATACATTTAAAGGTTCTAGGTTCTGATGGTTTGTCAGTAATGTTGAAAAAACAATTGTGAAGTATACAGTAGGCACAAGAAAGTGCCACCCTCATCATGGCCATGAGGGAGCAGGCAAAGACAAAAGACCATTTTAAAAGATAAGTTCACTCATATTTAGGGTGTAACATTTTACTAAATGAGCAGCCCCTGCACCCCCTCCTCCCCGAGTTCCCGTGGTGACAGTGGGCTGGCGATCGCTGTCACAATTTAAAAAAAAAATGTGGCTGTGCTGGGCTCCACCCAATTGGCCACATCATGCATTCATATTGTTCTCTGAATTGGAGAACTACAACTACCATCTTCCATTGCAGCCGTTGGCTCGTAGTTCTCAATGAACTACCAGGGTGCTGGTGAACGCTCTAGGTAGTTCATTAATCCTTCCTGTCATTCAGTAAGTGCCTGTCTGTACAATGTACAGGCAGACAGCTACAATGACACCCCTTCTGATCGCAGGTGCAATAGTTTACAGGCTTCTTATAAATAAATAAATGCACATTTTTCACCTGCAAAAAGATGTGCGTGTGTTTTTTTGTTTGTTTTTTTATGTAAGCTTATCCTTTAAACTCAGAGTTTTAAGAAGCTGGCTAGTGGTTCAACCCACCAGGCCTCGAAGGTAGACTTGAAATAAAAAAAGTGAAGATATGGGATCTTATAGAAGAAAGGTTCACCAGAATTTTTTTTGCAGTCTTATAAAGAACATCTAGAAATGCTAATTGTGCCCAAGCAGTATCCTGGAAAATCTACTGTTTGCATTACATTTCTCCTGGAAAATAGTAGAGTACATCTTGTGCCTTGAACTTCTTAGCTGTATAACTTCACTTTGAAATTTCTAAGGCATTACTCCCTCTGACATCTAGTTTCAAGAAATCTGGCATGAGATTTAGTGATGATACTACTGTGCTGTTTACTGCTCTTCAGGAGAGGAAGCTGTACCTGAAGACCTGCAATACAATCTCCATGCCTGAGCTTCATTCATTCTTTGGATTTGTAATTTGTGCTTCTCCCCTACTGCTTCTTGAATATTCCTTCATCAGTCTACAGGGGACAGTTCTTAAAAGGTGGCAGCTCTGACATCAGGAAGTAAAACCCTGTCTCTACCAAGACAACTACTTCCACACAAAAAGGAATAAGGTATGGTAGCTTACTAGTGGGAAAAGGTGAACTGCAGGAAGCCAATGAGTACTGTTGGTGACTAGTTCTTTGTCCTCTGCTTCCCCTCTTCATGCACAGGTTTCAAAGCTCAGGTCCTCTTAACAGTCACTAGTAAATTTATGCATTCGCAGGCCTTTTGGGGTTTTGTCGAAAACAATAAATTATATCACCATGGGCAATAAGAAAATAGTAGTTTTGGCACATAATTTCCCCCTGCTATCCATACTGAATAAGTAGTAACTGTATTTGTTGCAGCACTGAGTCATGTTGGCAGATAGATCCACAAAGTGGTTTCCAACACTTTGGCAGCTTATCCTACACAAGAGTTTGTCATAAAAAGCTACTGCTTTAAATTAAATGCTACAGCTAAAATAAGAGATTATTACAATAAAACAACTAGTTTCAAGGTAGCATTCCTTTTAGTCATAAACATTAATTTTTATAATTTACAGATGTCTGGTAAGAAAACAACAGTGATGCCACATCCGTTAGCAGTACGAAGCAGGGGCAGACTGACAACTCATGGGCCCCCGGGCAAAAGGGGATCATGGGGCCCCTGTGTTCTTGCCCAAACTCAAAAAAGCCTATGAAAAAGGTACCAGGGGCATCTCATGGGGCCCCCTACTGACCCCGGGCCCTCGGGAAGTGCCCGGGTTTCCAAATGGTCAGTCCGCCCCTGGTACGAAGGACAAAAAAGTGAGGACCAAAAAACACAAAGGTGTCTAGTGCAATCAAATCAAATGTTACCTTTCACAACTGCCCTTAGGTATTTGCCTTTACACATATAATAATGAAAAGGAAAGAATCTGACAATTAAAATGATTCAATAATGAATAGTTAACTTATAATATGATATAGCATCCTTATTTTTGGAAGAAAAACTTTTTTATTCTTAACCTCTGAAAATAGATCTTCATTGTAAGAGTGGTGAAATTGCACAGTCCTCCAAATAAACTGCTTTTAGTACTCACAGTGTCAGGGCAGGGGCCGAGGAACGGACAGGCAGGCCTAACAATGTAACGCACTGGCTGACGACAACCACCACCCACAGACCGAAGTCCCTCAGGGCGCTGAGTCTAAGTCCCAGGCTGCCCTTCACCAGGGCCCCTGATGGTGGGGATGGACTTGACGCAGCCAGGAACCAGGTCGCGGCCCCCGAGACACCTCAGCTGCGGTAATGGCCGCCGCCAATGGCGTGTAGCTGGTGGAAGAGACAAAAGAGTAGTCAGACAGGCCGGGTCAACAACAACAGGACAAAACAGTACAGGACAGCAGACGAGAATCACAGGTCACGAGCCGGGTTCAGCAACAGAGGGTCAGATAAAAGGAGAACGCAAAGAATAGTCGAGTCACAAGCCGAATCAGATACCAGGAGAGTCCCGAGAGTCAGAACAGAGTAACAGCAACACAAAGACACAAGACACAAGTGCAAAGAGCATGTGCGGACCACAGGCTTATATGTCATCAGCCACACCCCTCTGGGGGATGGACCTCAGAGACCAGAAGGCATAAAAGGATTCCCACCATGCACAGCAGAAATCCAAGATGGACGCCAGCACATGGAGTAACATAACCTCAGGGAAAAGGTAGGACCTTGACAGTACCTCCTCCTCAAGGGCATTCCCCCTCCGTGGCTCAACAAAAGGTTTCTGAGGAAAGCGGGTATGAAAAGCGCGGAGGAGGGCAGGAGCATGGACATCCGCAGAAGGAACCCAGGAACGCTCCTCGGGACCATAACCGCGCCAATGAACCAGGAACTGTAATCGACCGCGCACCAATCGAGAGTCCAGGATCCGGCTCACCTCATACTCCTCATGACCGTCAACCTGGACAGGACGGGGCCGAGGCAGAGAGGTAGTGAAGCGATTGCAGATCAGAGGTTTCAACAGGGAAACATGAAAGATATTGGAGATCCGCATCCCAGGCGGAAGGGCAAGGGCATAGGCCACCGGATTCACTTTGCGGAGAATGCGGAAAGGACCGACAAAACGGGGAGCTAGTTTGGGTGTGGGCACCCGAAGATTGAGGTTGCGAGTAGACAACCACACCCGATCGCCGACCTGGTATGAAGGAGCGGGCAACCGTCTGCGATCAGCCTGGAACTTCTGGCGCTGAGCTGAGTCCCTCAAGGCCCTCTGGATCTGCCCCTATGAAGAACGCAGGGCAGCAAGATGGT